TTAAAAAATTTTGATACTGGCTAGATGAACTTTACCAATTTTAAAAATATAACGTTTGTAATTGCCGAAAATAAAAACACATTAATTTTCATTAATTTTCATATTGAGTGTTTGAAGAAAGAAGATAGAGTAGCGGTTATCGCGTAGCACCGCTGTGGTTAAGCGCCAAAAGAGATTTTCAATATTCTACAAAAATTAAAAATAACCCTACGATTTGTTTATCGCACTGTCAAACGATCTACTAAAGATTCAAGCTTCGAAGATCGTAGAAAGACCGTCTCACCTCGTACAGTTATGACACCCGCGATCATCAAAACAGTGAAGGCGCGAATCCAACGAAATTCTGTTCGTAAACAAAAAATCTTAGCTCTTCAGATGGGCCTAAGCAAAACCACGGTCAAAAGAGTGATCAATGAAGACCTAGGACTACGAGCTTATCGTAAGAAGACCGGACATTTTTTAAACGAGCGTTTGAAAAATATCAGGCTGGATAGATCCCGCGCTTTGTTACGGCGGTACGAAATTTTGTTTACGGATGAAACATTTTATATAAACAAAATGATAAGGTGTATGCTCACAGCAGTGAAGAAGCCAGCACGCGTATTCCGAGGTTCGACGAGCACATTATACTTCGTCACTCATGGTTTGGCTTGGAGTCGTCATTCAGTCTTAACTGAGGTGTTTTTCTGTGATAAAGGTGTAATAAACAGTGCCGAGGTGTACAAAAATACCTTCTTAACAAACATAGTGGAACTTATTTCTCAAACAATGCTCAAAAACAGACATAGGATATTCCAACAGGACTCTGCACCAGCTCATAGGGCACGAAGCACGCAAAACTGGTTGACCGCCCATGGAATTGACTTTATCGGACATGAAGACTGGCTTTCTTCTAGTCCAGATTTAGCCTACCGGATTATAAGATATGGCAAAATTTGGAGGAGAAAGTCTGTGCTAAACCTCATCAGAATTTGGAATCTCTCCGAGCATTTTTGGCTAAAGCAGCGGCAGAAATAGATATGAGTGTGGTGCGTGCTGCGATTGATTATTGGCCGCGTCGATTAAGTGCATGTATTCAAAATAGAGGAGGGCATTTTGAATAATGTAAATAAAATTATATTCTAAATGAAATGACCTTTCATTTCATATATAATTTATATATAATTATAAAAAAGTGTATCATTAATTTTATAAAAAGTTTATGACAGAACTTATGACCTGACTAAGTAATGGGTGAACATAATGCCTAAATGCATTCTCTGCCAGTCAATCAAAAGTAATATATTCGTATAATTACGACGACTATTTAATAATATTGTGGTTATATTATTTTGGGGTTACTGAAAGAATTTTTTGTCCCTGCTAATATCGTGTATTTATTATATATTCAAAACGTTTATCGTAATTCTTTATTAGATTTAGATATCCTATTGTTTTATTGAAATACTCGATCTTATTATATTGATATAATCGATATAAAAAAAAGAAACTGCTTCCGATGTTAGGAGTGAATATAAAGTGGCACATCTCTATTGACTAACGTCTTCACATGCGCAAAACCCAACTTCAGCCCGGTCAAGATAATCAGGTATAATTTGGTTTTTGAATTAAAATTATTTATCAATTTTTATTGTATTCAAATTATTTTGTCACGAAGTATTCTTATGTCATAAGTATCAATTTTTTGTTTCAACTTATGTATAATTAATTACGTATTAACTAAAAGTTATAATAAGTCTTGTGTGACGACTCATTGTTGCCTACACAGTAAAGTCAAATGCTCCTGAAACGAAGTAAATATATATATCGAAACAAAAGTTCAAACCACCAGTTTTAGTGGAAAATCCACTAAGTTGGCAACATTAGATTACACTGAGTATAAACACGTGCCGAACCGTAGACAAAGAAACCTATAGACTAATGATCGGCGTGGCCTCGAGTCAGAAAGGACGATAACGAATTTTTAGGTTATACAATAATCCTTATGACTTTTAAACACATTTAGATAAAAATTTTAATTGTTCTAAGAACTGAACTGAACAAAATTCACCAATCTTAAGCTCACAAAACACTTTTTTCTCACTTAAACCAACTTGTAAACTCCTTAAATCGCTACGCTGGTAAAGTTGTTTAGCAAACTCTACAGTTTGCTAAACAAAAAAAACCGGCACGAAGAAAGGGACAAACAATCACACCGCTCTATCTCATTTCTATGCAAGACGTATGCATAAATCTATCTTTTTCGTGTGCGAATGCGAAAGAATGCGTCAATTTGTCTATAGGTTTCTCTGTCTACGTGCCGAACGCTCCGCATCGTGTGTCGTCATCAGTATTCGTCCTTCAATATTTGGATACCTACTGTTTTATAAAATGCGGCGCGTTTGGTACGGCCATAATGTGCGAGGATTCATACGATAAATTCTAAAATGCGGCGCATACGGTGCGTACAGCGCGTATGGTGCTGACTTTAGTGACTGGTTGGTAGGGGTGCCAAATACGATACAATTTATCAATATTTTCTAAGATTTACTATGACCATTGGTTACAAACGGCATACCCTAGCAAGTATAACAATGTTCTACTTTCCTTATAATAGCACTATACTTCTCTGCTTCTTCTAGACTTGTAACAATATTAATCATAACAACATCTACTATGCTACATTACTTTTTTTAAAGAAAACATTTATTATTCATGCAGTAACGATAATTTTTTTTATATTATCGCAAACTCGTAAGAAATCGTTTAGTTGTGAGTAAACCACACAGTTTTCTAAACCTTTATTAGAAAACCCTGAATAATGATCATGGTGATATATCCAGGTTTTGTTCACTTCAGCGTTATTCTAACTACCGATTTAAAATCGAGTATGACCTCATTCATTAGGTATAGTAAGGTTTTAAATTATACTTTTAGGAATTTATAACAAAGGAATGGTGATTACTGTTTTATTGTAGTTTCTATTTGCATTTTATTCGAAATAAATTCAAAATGTGATTCAGATTAAAAAATATGTAACAGTTCATTAAAAATTCAAAATATCAATTTTTCCACACCACATTATAGTTCATAAAAGGAAGATAGCGGCCATGGAGGTTAGAGAGAAGGAGAACGATCTCTGTAGAAAATAGTGTCTCAGAAATATGGACAAAATAAGTGAGGCGCTGCGATCGCTAAGTTGTCTCAATAAAAGTCATTTTCAGTCTATTTTTACGATCAGATGCTAAACCACTTGCACATCCACCCGCAATAATAATTTTACCTTTTTTTAATGTTTCTTTTTGTCGAAAATTAAAAAAAATACGGAGCTCGATTATTTTCTCACCAATGCCGCGAAGAAAATTTGTATATTAATCAACTAATTTCATCTACTTGTACTCATAAATAGCTAAATTCACAGATACTACTTACCGACAGCAGTTCAAGGACAGGCGGGCTGTGCTTTAGCACGTAGCGATCGTCCTCCTTCTCTATAACCTCCATGATGGCGGCGATTAATGTTATTAGTCGAATAGAATACTTTTTACAGCTTACAGCTGGACACTTTTTCATCTTGTCTTCCACATGAGATAGTCCTCCCTACCTCTATCATCCATAGTTTTGTACTTACATACCGTACATCTACATATTTAATTATCTATGGCTTACATACATAGATAAACAAAAACAACACACAAAACGAACACATTCCTTATTAAAAAAAAATCCACATCAGGTCATTTCATAGATTACTGTATAGGTCATTTAATATAATAAATGATACGGGCAGTACTCATCAAGTTTCCACCACACTCTTGAGTACACACTCATATTCTCGAGTAATTATAATTGTTGACAATGAGGGCTAATAATTTCAGAGCAAGAAAATGATTCTTTGAAATCTATCTTCTCCGTAACATGTAGGCCAATTTACATAATTTTTTTCGGCAATATTTGTAGCTCAACACAGACAAGGTTTGTAAACAATAAAAATCTGAATTTGAATTTTTTTCTTTTACTATCTAATCAATTCGCTAATTTGCATCTGCGCAATATCACACCATTTGATTGAATTTTTTGTAGAAATAAAGATAGTTATGACTTTAGACTTTTACTCCGCTCCGTTTATAGTATATAATATAACTAATATTACATAAACATTAGCCTTTACACTTTCCTAAAAATTTACTTCCTCGCTATGAAATTGTCAAATATTCCACCTCAATCCAAAATGGCACCGTCTTGGTGGCAGAAAAAGTCGTGGATGTCTTCATTAACGGATATTTTTAAATGTTTTTTATTTATAAATCGTGAGTAAAGGGATCATTTACCAAGTATTAAAAAAATAAAACTGATAGGTAATAACTTCAGCAGGGTTCAACTGTATGAAATAAAAAGCGAGTTTTAGACTTGTAGAACATATGTTTATTATATTATACATTAAGAAACCGTAAAAAATTGATAATCATAGATTAATTAATACTAAATTATATTTAATACAACTTGATTTTATTAGATTCATCATCATTATTATACGTTTAACAGTGGATTTGTGAAATGCGAGAAATATGACTTTGGAATGCAACAAAGTACGGTCCGAAGCCACCTGCAACCTTAAACTTCATGTATTACTTACCAAGTTGTCATTCCATCTCCGGGGTTTAACCCTACCCGATAACTATGTAGTATAAACCTGCAACACGAGAATCTTTCTCTATTATAGGTTGCTGGATTTTGAATTAAATGGCCGACCGAAATCCGCTGGGTTGTGTCGGTCACTTTAGTTTTACTGCTTTGTGTAGAATGCAGATAGCTTCGTAAGTCTCGTATCTGTCTATAGTTGCATGTATGCCGTTGTTTAGGACGAAGTTTTCAGTCATTCTTATACAAGTTTGAGCAATGAATAAAATTACTTTATTATAGGCACAATGGATTAGGAGCCTATAATAATTAAAATAAATTAAGAAGAACCTTTTACAAAACTAAAATTTTACGTAGGTGTACTTTAAAAAAAACTATTTTTAATTTTTGTGCCGTTTTAATGCTTCTTCGAGGACAGATATAGAAAAGTCCACATCTTGTCTAGTAATGCACATAGGTGGTTTTATTCTTAGAACCTGTAAAAAATTGAAAAAAATGTATAGTTACTACAGAATAAGATAATCTACTTAAACCCGTAGTAAAACAAAAACAAAGTTTTCTAACATTGGGCTTAGTGGTATAGCGTCGCATCTGCTGAATTAAGAGTACAGGACCATCGATTCAAAGAGTTCAACATGTATCCATACGTTCAGCTGGAATATTTTGAGAAAAAGGGCCCCTTAGGCGTAAATAGTTTGCTAAAGTGCCCATTAGCTAATAATACCACTTATAGTAATACACACACTATCTCATATAAGACTTTTATTACCTATGAAATAGAAATGAAGCGATGAATTATCATTAAAATAAACTTACATTATTCCACCGTCCACCTCGTCCTATCAATATCCCAAGATCTTTTATAGTTTCAAAAACATTTGCGAATTGTTCTTGACATAGCGGCGTCTTCGTTCCGGGAACAACAAGTTCTATGGCCAACATCAAACCTTTTCCTCGCACGTCACCGATGATTGGGTAAACCTTTTGAAGCTGCATTAACTGTTCAATGAAATATTTGCCGATAACCTTGTTGTTTTCCTGGAGATTTTCTTCTTCTATAACCTGTAATTTACATATTGTAATAGTACTTTTAGTGGCGGTGTAAGAATATCCATTACTACCCATATCATTTCGTGGTTGTCGTAAGAGGCGACAGAAGAAAAAAATCAGAAGATGTGCGGCAGCGTTTTCCTAACCATGACTTAAAATTAAAATAAAACTGTGGCTGCCAACCTGCTTGCCGAGCGTGGCAACTATGGCAATATACCCCCCCCCCTCCCCATGATGAGAGTTACAAAGAAATAGCCCCCAGTCCCCGGCGGCCTCGCTATTCCTGGCTACGGTGGTGACGACGGTAACGGCGGGGCAGGGGGGTGCTAAGAATCTCCGGTGGAGGTTCAGTTGCCACATAATACGACTAGGGGGGATCCCTATGAGGCAATCTATGGGGAGGCCTATGTTCAGCAGTAGACTAAATGACAAGAGAATAAGTCTAATATTACAGACATAGAAATAGAATAGAATATCATAGACATAGAATTATTTAATACTGGTATTTACTTAAATAAGCAATATTAACGAATATATAGCCGATTGAAAATATAACGTCTGCTTTAAATGGATTTTATGTAGGTAATGAATATTTAAAAGAGAGAGAGAGACAGACAGACATTTTGTAAGTAAGGGCTTATATAAATGGTAACTACTTGAATTTGTCAGATTATGATCTTTTTTGACAACAGGTGTAACTTACTTCTAAAACAGCTTTAGCGGCCGCAGCTGCTAGTGGGTTCCCTCCGAAAGTATTGAAATACGATGCTCTAGTGTGAGCATTAGCTATCTCCTTTGTTGTAATAACCGCAGCTAAAGGAAAACCGTTGCCTATTCCTTTCGCTAAAGTAACTATGTCCGGTGTAATGCCTTGATTTTGAAAGCCCCAAAAGGAATCTCCTGTACGACCAAAACCAGTTTGTACCTGGAATGAAAGACGTTAAAATCATGTCAAGTAAATCCTTCCACGGCATTTAATTTGGCGATATCAGGGAAAATATTGTTTAGTTACTTTTTTGTTAAAAAAAAAGTAACTTCTGCACTTGGGTTTTCTCCGGTATTGTGGAAGCAGTTTAGAAACCCGGGGTAATTATTTGTAGGCCATACAAATACTTATTCCGTGCGGGATTCGAATCTGCGTCCCTTAGCACCGCAACTGGAGCTAAGCAACTGCCGGAGCTGTACAATTATTATATGCTATACATAGTATTTATATGCTAGGATTTGATTGTTATTATATCAAGCACTAGGTTGTTAGTGGTCTAGTACAAGCTTAAATAGTTCGACTTTACTGTTATTCGAGTTTATTTAATATAATCAGGTGTTACTTTGCGTAGAACCGTTATATTAAAGATTTTAGCTAAGATCTACGTAATAAAAAATGATGTGTGTTACCTAGTTTGAAGAGCACCCGCCACCCTCCCTCAATTGCACTATCCCCGTCACCACTAATCTCAGCACCACTTCCAACACCACTACACTAGGAAAGACACACCACCGACGATGATACGACACTTGTTTCGGCTCTACACGAGGCATCCTCAGGCGAACTGGACTCTGCCGTGGCTGACCGCTAAGTCAAGCAATCAGCTACCGCAGAGTCTATTATAAAAACAGTACATTTTTTATTACGTGGATCCTAGCTATTTAATTTTTTTAACATCCTTGATGTTAGTGCTCACTCTATCTAACTTGACTTACCTCATCAGCTACAAGTACTCCACCATATTTCTTAATCAGGGCGCTAGCTTTTTTCAGATAGCCTTTCGGATATTGTACCGCGCCGTTTACACCTTGTATGCTTTCCACGAACAGCGCCGCCACTCGATCGACAGGCACTGAATTCCCTAAAAGCTACAATCCATATTTTTATTATTTTTCTTCCTTTATATATACATATAACGATTTAATGTTATAATATAGAATGAGAGATTTAATATTTTAATAATGAAACGAGCACAAAGTCCAACTTATGGTAAGTGTATGTTGTTGGCGAGGGAATGTCTCGTTACAACGAAAAGGGGTCTCTGGTTTTCTACATTTACCATATGAAACACAACAACACTGAACTGCCATTTTACTCTGGTATTCTGTGAGAATTCTATGAGAGTGAGCCGGGGTAGCACAGGGGCTAGGCGCTCGCTGTAAATTTCACAGTTCGCGAGCAACCCGGGTTCGATCGCCGCCGGCACCAACTAAATTGTTAATTGCAATTTTAATTGCTTCGCCACATACTCGGCAGCGAAGGAAAACATCGTGAGGAAAACTGCATGTGTGAGAAATAAGAAAAAAAATATTTCGAAGACATGTGGAGTTCGCCAACACGCATTGAGACAGCGCGGCGGATATTTCCTTGCCCTAAAACTCTTACAGAAATGAAAGGAGGCCTGTGCAAAACAGTGGTAAGTATATAGGCTGTAACTTTATTCCGTGAGAGCGTGGTCCTTCCCAGTCACAGACTACCCAGGCTGGGTGGTCTGTGTTCGCAGTCGAACTAACGCGTTCGTGCTGCAACCACAATATACCTGCAGCGTGGATCTACTACATTCTGCAATTAAGACGGTTCCCCTAGCGAGAGACCTTGAGCGTTCGGTCCCATACAATCCACGCGCTCTCGCTACAATATATCACGGAAAAATACGCCCGAATATTTGGAATTATTTCAATTAAAAGAGATAAGCGAACTTAAGAAATTAAATAAAACGTGTAGAATATAGATTTTTAAATTATCTATCCATTAGTGTAATTCTCAAATGATTAGAGCATTTCCTTTAGCAACAGATGCATGTAATCAATAATTTTAGTCATTTTTTAAAAGTTGATTTTAAATGTATTCATAACACATAAAAACAAATTAGAACGTGGAATGTGATGATAGGATATCGAACATTAATAATGTGCTTTTAGATGTAGCTTATTTCTTATAACTAATGAGATAATAGTCTCTGAAAAACGCACTTTTGCCAGGTTTTGGTCAGGGTAGCGCCTTAAGACCCAACATTTGGTTCTTATTCATTCCTTAAATGTGACGTTCACTGATCTTAATTTTGATACAGTTCCCCAACAACGGGCTAGGTTTTACTTTGTATATAACTATGAAGTTGATAAGTTAAATATCTATAGTCGTTCGGCTAAATAGTGAATTATCATTTAGGAAACACATTAATAATGTGCTTTTGATGTAGCTATTTCTTATAACTATGAGATAATAGTCTCTAAAAACGCTTTGGTTTTGGCCTTAAAATTTGTTTATTTTTTTTTTTTAATTTTCGATTTGAATGAAGTTGATAAGTTAAATATCTATAGTCGTTCGGCTAAATAGTGAATTATCATTTAGGAATCACATTCTCCATTGCTGCAAAAAAGCGTAAGTGTAGAAACTTGGGCTGAAGACATTGCACTGTTCTGTTGCACCGTAAGTGAATTCACTAGGGTTTGATTGTTTTCAATTTGTTACAGTTAATGACCATATTTTTCGTTTTTCATGAAAAGAACTACGCTGTCGCATTATATTATTCCTGTCATGATAGTTGTTAGTTTAAATAAATTAATTAATTTACTAAGTGGTACAGGGTCGCATATACCTACCAGATGGTTTTACTGACGAAAGCCATGAGATCTTTTTCATATGTTTTTGACAATTGACAAAAATCATTTATTTAATCACTTTTTCGATTTAACAAAAATCTAGCGTAAAATAGTAGCTTCATGATGATGTGTTTCGTATAGTAAGCGTAGAGAAGTTTAGCCCTCTTTGTACTGGTAGTGAAGCATAGTCTCATAATCCTAAGGAGTAACAATGTATTAAATTTTAATTCTTAACCGGGGACAGGTGTACCTATGGGCCTCAATATCCACTTTCCATTAGGTAGACTATGTGGTCGTTTCCCACTACTAATGTGTAATACTACTATAATATATTATATATATTTGCTAAGTGACCCGGCAGACTTGTTCTGCCCTTTCTGGTTGGTGACGCGATGAGTTTAATTTTCACATAGACTACTCTATAGATTTATAATACGTAAAGCTAAATCATCTGTATAACTAATAGAACCATCAGCAACAATGATAACAGTAAACTTAAAAAAGAGGATACATAACTCTTTTTTTACTCTTAAGTAAGCGGATAAAAAACTATAGCTTATGTTACTTATGTTATACACTGTCATTTACTGCCTGCAAACAAAATTTCTTCAATATACCTAGTATATTCAATTATCATTCAATTTCAATTTCATTATATATATATATATATATATATATATATATATATATATATATATATATATATATACAATATGTATTCATTTTAATTACAGCCCACTGTTGAACATATTGATAAACTTTACCTCACTAAGTTGATGCACGTATTTATCAGATGATTCGCAATCCCCTGGACAGGAACAGGCGCCTGGCACTTGTGACAGAGAGTCCCTGCATCCACCCCATATGCCTCGGTATGGGTCTGGTAGTAATGCCTGAAAAAACATAACCGGAGGAATCTACCTGTAAAATTAATAATTTCCATCATCTGTCAACCGGGCGGCCAGCGGGTCTTTACCCCTTTGTTATTGATACTCAACGCATTCAAACCACACATTTGCTCATTTTTTTCGTAATGCGTCAGCAAAGGTGTGGAAGACAAATCTGCAAGCCGACGTCTGTTTTTCGTGCAATTACAACCTGGGCGTCTTCAAGACAAGACTTTTATTAAGCTAAGACATTGGATTTACCATCCAGGGTTTCATCATCACTTACCATTGGCTACAAGCACTGACATATAATAAATAAAGCTATTTTTTACACAAACAAAATATTCTAAAGAGCGTGTACGCGTCGACAAACTGAGTTAAGTTTGGCGAGATAATTACTGCATTTATTTGTAAATCAGCACTAAAACTAAAATTGCAAAAAAACTTTTTAGAATTAATATGATATACCCACCCTTTAACTGCTAACAAAGCATTCCATCCTCAGTCCAGGCTAGGCAATCCTCAAGCTTGAACACACATCTTTATTCTGATTATTAATCGATAATAGATATGGGTGTCTACGTAACACTCATCTGGGAAACTATGTACTCCGCCCAGAAGAAATGAAATTGCTCACGGCTAAGCAACTCCTTCTTTTCATTGAAGACGTATGGCTTAGCCGTGAACTATAGGCATAGCAGCGATCACAATAGATCTTCTAGGTCACAGTGTCTCTTTCCCTAGACCTGCATAGCTGCTCGCATATAATAAAAAATAAGGTGTCTATAGACTACAGTATCTACTTACCATCAGGTGTTCAGGTGGACTGTGTGTTCTTTTGTCATCTATACTTATTATATTATAATATTAGCGATTTGCCACAGCTACGCACGGGTGATTTCTGGATCTCGGAGTTTTTAAACCATCCAAAACACACACACACACACACACAATGGGAACTCAAATACACACAAAAAATTCATCCAAATCGTTCCAGCCACTTTCGGCTTTAGCGAGACTAATGGACAGCAATTGTGATTTTTTATATATTTATAAGAAAGATAATAAAACGTAAGAGTTTTTTTTTGTTTGTTTAAACACGCTAATCTCTGGAAATACCAGTCCCATTTAAAAAAATATGTTTGTATATTGTAGCTAGAAACTACATAATTCTATATCTAGTATTAGGCTATACGTGGTAGAGCCATACTGCAGTTATATTAGTAGTATTATATATTTTTGATTCGTAATCGAAGATAGATGTAGATGTCTATGGGCCACAGCAACCACTTACCATCAGGTAGACTGTGTGCTCGTTTGTCACCCTATCCTATAAAAAAAGGCTACACCTCTATCTCTATCAGCTAGAATTAAATAATTATTTTTGTTAACTAAGTCAGAAGTAACCTCCACACTAGGATTTTCTCCTGTATCGTAGTTTACAAACATAAATTGCACACGGACAAACATCTACGCAGAATGAGCCTACTATACCTTGAACTCTTGCAGTTATGGTTTATTCGAAGTGTAGTGTTCGCGTGTACGAGTAAATAAATAAATAAAATAAATCATGAAATGCTAACGTTATGAAATCCGGCCGGTGTGATCATCGGTTGTCGAAAGGCTTGGGTAGATGTAAGTCCCATCAGACCGCTGGAACAGCCGTGGTAGCCACTCTGAAGAGATATAACGTCATTGTTGCCCGTGTACGCTTTAGCTAATATTATAGCAAGGTCATTAGCTTCTGTTCCGCTATTTACTAAATACACTACCTGTCAAAAGAAAAGTACATTTTATATTGCATTTTAAGAAGACAGACTCGCCTTTAACTAGGTCTATATAAACAGGGGTGACCTGTTAATGGATGGAGTGACGACCTGGTAAGAGAAGTTTATAGATGCAGATGGATCAGACCATTGATCGGCTATTTTATTTCCTTTTTTTGACTTTTGAATACTTGCGGATATATTATAGTCCAGGATCCATCGCACATTTTTGCACGTGATTACTATCAAGCTAATTTTCCGTGAGTAGCTTTATTTTGATGAGACGCCTAATAATTTCCTGTACGAAACTCTCGATTGTGGTAGCTAACAGAAGTAGCAAGGATAAAATATGTTGATTTGATGATTCTCAAATATTTATTACTAACTGAATTTTTTTTTTGTTAAATCTCAAGATAATTATCCACATTATTCGGAAAAAATATTTGTCCTACAAAATCTATGGTTTGATCAAAGAGTCCCCTCTATCCAATATGTATCAATAACGAGGTCATCATAAATGATTACTAACCAGCTGATTTTTTGTTTTTACTTAGTTAATATTTATATAATTTAACAGACATATTGTCCTACAAATTGCGTGGTACGTTATCCCGGTCCTACGCTATGAAAAAAATGGTCTTCTGGTATTAACAACTTCTGAGCGTAGGACCGGGAAGTCTGAAGTGACGTATCACTTCCACTATTAAGATGAATCTGACAATACCCATAATATGTTAAAATCCATCAAGCCATTTAGACTACACAGTATGCCAAAACAGTAGACATACATACACACATACCACAGAAATCTGTGATACAAACATACTTTTGAAAATCATTACCCTCCTTCTGGTGCAGTCGGGTAAAAACAGCACAATTAAATTTAATAAAGGCAAATTCCCAAATATAATTAAATGAATGCTCATACTTTCAAATCACCGGGGAATTTCGACACCAGTTTCTCAACGTACTCGTATAATTTGGGATGTCGATAAATGTTTGTTACGTGCCAAAGTGTATCGATTTGCTCGTGTAAAGCTGATGAGACTTTCCTGTAAAAAAGAAATACGCTATTTTGAACACAGTGTTGATGATCATGCACAGGATTATATATTACCAATGAAGCCACACCCGTATTGTAGCAGCCAAAGAGAAACCACATATAGAATCAGGCGTTACTTCTACTACTACTTCTACTACTTGCGTTATTATATTTTAAAGTTGTCAAAAATTAATTTGCAAAGATCCGCATATCAAATGATGTGTAGAGGCGAAACACATGTATTATCGACGGTGGTGTGTCTTTCCTAGTGTAGTGTGATTAGTGATTAATCTTTCGCTCACCAGACTGATGTCGCTAGTTTCGTGTTACACAATGTCATTTAATTGAGAAATTAGTTTTAAATAAAAGTTTACCAGTTTCTAGAGTATTATAATAATGCATAATAATGCCTCTCTGGCTTGATCTTTAAATTCCATATTTTGTTTTTTTTTTTCTTTTATGAATATCTGTACTTAGTTTGGTTTATTTATTTTTAATCCAATGAATATAAGATCTAAATAATAGTATGGAAAGAAACATTAACCTTTAACTTTTCGGACAAATTAACCCCCCCCCCTCCCCCCTCCCCGCGTATGAGATCTGTCAAATATTATTACGCCCGTACACCTCATTTTTAAGTGACGCCGCTCTGATTGCAGAAAAATTCGTGGATGCCTCATTGGGAAAAGGCGCGATATTTTCTCGAACTAGGTAAAACACATTTTATTTTGTTACGCGGATCTTAGCAACATAATTTTAGGCAACTATAATAAGGGAATTCATCACATAATTTCGTCGCGTGGGTGTCGTAAGAGGCGACTATGGGAAATCTTATTTTTCTGGCGTTTCCCACGAGCATCTCGTTTACGCCAAACGTAAAATATCCTTACGAGCTACCGAGAGCAGCATCAAATGTGCGAGATGTCTTGCGTCTAGCACTGCGAACGTCAATACGCTTGCCAAGCGTGACGTTTAAGTAAAATTCGCCTAAGTACTTATGCCGGCTGTACACGCTCGTCAAGACACCACGAGACAGGCCGTGTACGAGTGTGTACATGGTGCTCTCGTCGCGTCGCGTCACGTCTCATGGCCCTCGTGCGCTCTCGGAAGCGTGTCGGTTTTTTGCGCTTGAGTCAATGGGTCTCGTGAGTTTCGCGATAAAAACGAGAGCGTGCTCTAATCTATTCATCGTATATGGTACTGTTACGATAAATAGAAACTATCCACCATCTTCTTCTTCGCAATGCCTTATTAATTTTGTTTTTTAGTAAATGTGTAAAAAATTATAATAGCTCAAAGGCAAAACGCAGCAACAGTTTTATCTGGGTCCATCTCAAATTGTACAACGATAGTATACATATAGTTCAAATGATACAACGAGTGTGTACATGGTGTGTTCTCGTGTCGAGCCTTTACGACGACGAGAGGCACACGAGGCGAAGAGACGAGCGTGTACAGCCGCCATTAGATTCTAAACCCCCTACAACGGCAGAGGCCGATTTTTGTTCTTTTTTTTCTAGGTCCTATTCTCAAAACGTATTGATAAACCCAGTACACTTTAACTTTTTCTTTTAATTTGTTTTTGTTGAACCTATGAATATCTTATACTATCTATCTTATGATTGAAGAATAGGCTATTAATTATTGGAGAAAATATGTCTTATTAATGACTGTTTCTTTCCTTACGTAAAAAATAAATGAAATGTCTATTTATACAACATGTAACATAATTAACGCACTTTGAGAAAGTAGTTTGTTCAGAATCGTTTACTGAATCGATTCATATCATTTTTAATATAGGTAATTTTTTATCCCAAAAATAATTAGAACTACGTAAATTACAGTCACACTAAATCTGTACAGTCAAAACAAACTGAAATGGACCGTGGCTTAAGGCAATAAGACTTTTAAGAGTGCAGTTTTATTTGTATTATTACTAATTCTGTCATTCAATAAAGACAAAGAAAAATGAACTTTATTTCAAGTACGTTAAAGTCTTTGCGTTCGTGGATTTGTACTGTGACCACAACATTCTTCCGGAATTAGTATAACTAATTTGATAAATAATCAGTGCATAAAAATGTTTAACTAAAAATTCAGTGTATGTATTATGATTATAACATAATATACTAATTGGGGTGTCTGAGGGTGTGCGTTAATTACGTAACATATTGTATATTTATACTCGTAACGTTTGTAAGTTTTAGGTAAGGTCACTGGCAAAATACCAGCGCCGTGGTTATCCCATTGTAGCCACAGAGTAACATCAGTAACGTGGTGCGATTTGTTTAAAATATACGTGTAAAATATAAACATGTACTATTTTGTAACTTCAGATAAAAATAATTCCTTTTGTTCTTTCTTTATTCTACAAAACTAAAAATCAATAAAGCATGTAGTGTAGGTAAGTATAAATATTTCATTTGATTAGGATTCGAACAAAGAACCCCTGGCTCATCATTTAGTACCAATAAATCATGCATATGGAGTGTAGAAGTAAGGAGTACCAGCTCCCATAGGAGAATAGTTGAAAAAGTGTCCATCTGTATGCCGTAAATAACAGTTCAAAAACTCTTCACTACAGCGCTCGAGTAGCTACGGGGTATGTTAAATCGCCGTAAAATACGTTGAGAGTGATTTTGAAAATAAAAATGTTGAAAGCAATAAAATAATTATTGTAAATAGAATTATGGTGAAAGTCTGTGCAATAAAAATGATAAAAAGTTCTTTAAAATTTATCCTTTAGCTACAGTGGCGCCACCCATATTAAACGTTTTCCTACGGACACTTTTTTATACAGAGTCTGTACTCTTTACCTCTACACTCCATAATCATACAGCTGCTTAACATGAAACCTTACGGATGACAGTGTCCAACAGAGACTGTGACGATTCCACCAAACAGGTCCAAATATCTTCGTCCTTCGTGGTCAAACAACCATTGCATGTGACCTTGATGTAAGATAAGCGGTTTCTTGTATAAATCGTACACAGCTGGTGGTATATTAATTGATTTTATCGCGTCCGTTTTTTGAATCGATGGTCCCTGAAAAGATTGTAAATAGGTTTGACGGTTGATGAACATTATACATAATTAAAAAACAAATGAGTGTGGGTTTTAGAGTACATATTACTTTGCTTATGTATACTCTAAAGTAAGGTAAGCTAAGGTGTGTGTGCGATTGGGCTCGCCCATTTTGTTAAGGACGCGTTTACAAAATGGATAGGTATAGAATCGCACTACTACATTGACAAAAGTCACACACACACTAGTGTACGCACGGTTGACTGTGGGAATCGTAGTCAAATGAAATTATTTTGATAATTTGAAAGATTGAATTTGTTTTTCATTTCTTATACCTACCTCAGAAATATACTTCGATACGAAATATGAATACCTGCTCCAAAGACTGCTTGGCACTGGAAGCCCTCTACTGGTAGTGAGATGTTAGCTCTGGACTTTGAACTGGTTTTGTCAGTTATAATAAGACCTTACCTACCTGCGGACTTGATGGAGTGACCTGAAGGTGTAATTTGGTGATTACAACAATAGGAACTCCTAGACTAGTGGAACTAGGTGTGCCGAGTTTGGGTTCGTTTTGTTGGTTATGATGAGACCTTACCACCGGACTTGATGGAGTGACCTGAAGGTGTAATTCGGTGATTACAAGTGGAACTCCTAGACTAGTAGAACTAGGTGTGCCGAGTTTGGGTTCGTTTTGTTAGTTATGATGAGATCTTACCACCAGACCTGATGGAGTGACCTGAAGGGGTAATTCAATAACTACTGCTGGAATTTCTGAACGAGTAGAACTAGATGTGCCGAATTTGGGCTCCGTTTTGTTAGTTATGACGAGTCCATACCTTCGGACTTGATGGAGTGACCTGAAGGTGTAAATCGGTGATTGCAACTGGAACTCCTAGACTGGTGGAACTAGGTGTGCCGAGTTTGGGTTCGTTTTGTAGGTTATGATGAGACCTTACCACCGGACATGATGGAGTGACCTGAAGGTATAGTTCGGTGATTACAAGTGGAACTTCTAGACTTGTAGGACTAGGTGTGCCGAGTTTGGGTTCGTTTTGTTAGTTTTGATGAGGCCTTACCACCAGACTTGATGGAGTGACCTGAAGGGGTAATTCAGTAACTACTGCTGGAATTTCTGAACCAGTAGAACTAGGTGTGCCGAATTTCACTCCATCAAGTCCGGTGGTAAGGTCTCATCGTAACTAACAAAACGAACCCAAACTCGGCACACCTAGTTCTACCAGTCTAGGAGTTCCTGTTGCTATCTCCGATTTAGACCTTCAGGTCACTCCATCAAGTCCAGAGGTATAGACTCGTCATAACTAACAAAACGGAGCCCAAATTCGTCACCCCTAGTTTTACTCTGCAAGAAGTTCAAATAGCGGTCACGAAAGTACACCTTCAGGTCATGCCATCAAGTCCAGAGGTAAGGTCTCATCATAACCAACAAAACGAGCCCAAACTCGGCACACCTAGTTCCGCTCGTCCACGAGTTGCAGTAGTAGGTAAGTTTATATATCCTACTTATTTTTAGCTAAATAAAAACTGTGAGTATAAAAATAATAATTTTATCACTTGTCAAGTACTTATGTTTCCAATTTGTTTTTGTCTAATATTTTGTGTATGTACAGCGATCTTTTCAGAATGAGCCGCTGCAAACAGGCGATACAGTGTCCACTCACTACGGCGGCCGAGCGCGGACTGTGGTTTCATCGAAATCTTTGTACAATAAATCAAAGCAGGCACCAACAATAAAATAGCCCTTATTGCAATACATTATGATTCATCCATATTACCAAAATATGTGAAAAAATGTGCATCAGTTTTTATTTTTTTTACGACTATTTGTGACATTTTGTTAAAAAATAAACCCAGGGTTTTTTAATTGAATATGTCTGTCATCTTATAGTATTTTTTTAAATTTTTAAATATGTTGATAATAGACCAAAACATCTACCGAAATACAAGCCGGTATCGTTAATTTTGTAGAAAATGGCAACGAAAGTTCGTTTTTACAATATAAAAAACTACTATTTTCAACAAAAGAGTTACAGACATTTGCAGATGAAGAACCAATCTATACATGGTAGTTTTTACTTATATTTGATTTGGTTTAGTTTTGTCACAAAATCTACCGAAAAACACCCTAATTTTGGTTGATTTGCAAACGCGTCCTTAACTCCCTTAGTATTAAATAAAACTATATTTAAGGATTTTATAGCGTTTAATAACTTATTTTAACTTATTTTTAAATCCCGAGGTTTCGAATGCTTTACAGCACCCATGTTCACGGGGGCGACTGAAATGTTTGACCAGATGTCAGACCAGAGCTCACGATTGTTCGCGCGGATCAAGGATCTCCTAGGTGTGCGTTGCTTGTAGTTAGCAGTGGCTGCAAATGACCGCCGGTACGACATACTCCGCCGAACGTTAAGTCCCGTAATTCCGTGAGGCGTCGAGGTCACCGGCCCCTAGGTGATTCTTGGCACTTTATGCGCTCGGAGCATCCTGTGCCTAGTCGCGTCATAAAGTGCCACCGTCGCACTTCCCCCAACCCTTTTGTTGACAAAAGGGGTAGGCAGTGCCCAGTGAGATTACGCCAATACGTTTACACCTCGCTATCCGCGTCGCGCTTCGTGCCGAACGGCTGGCATTTTTAGACAGGGCCTTTTATAGATTACCTGACTGACTTAGGTAGGTTCTCAGTATGTCCGATAAGGACAAGGGGGAGCCCCCACCTAAACCCAAACCAAGAAGACCACCCGACCGTCCTGGTGTACTTGACCGACCAATCGCATATCGCGACATCTTTGATCCTGAAAGGACTAGAGTAGTGTCCTCCTACTCACAGATCCCGACACGGAAACCCTCCTCACCGGGTAAGGAGCCCGCACCGAGGACCGCACTCTCGCCCATCGTACCTGGAGGTACGACTGGGCGGGAACCGTTCCCCCAACCCCAGCGGGCCAAGAAGACCCTGAGAAGGCATACGCCACCAGAGACAGCAGCATCCCTCCAGGAGAAGAGGCGATGCTTCGGTTCTTCCAACTCCTCGTCATCCGAGGGAGAATCAGACCACCAACCAGAGAAGCCAATTAGGAGATCACCACCCAAATCGCCATCGCCGCTTAACCCCCCCCCCCCAGAACACCGGAACAACACATCAGTATGGATGCTGCTGATCTGGAGCAGGGAGGAGAAGGGTCATACGGGTGGAGCGCCACCACGTATGCGACCCTAGCGCCGAGTACATCTGCCGGACACTCACCAACCGTGCCTACCACCAACCCGTCAGGCCGGCCATCAGATGATGGTCAGAGGCCTTCGACCAGCTACGCCCAACTGGTAGCTGCCCCGGCAGTACCAAGGACTAAGACAGCCGAGACACCAAAGCCGCCGGAAGAGTCGGCTAAGAGATATCCACCCATAGTAGCTGAGTGCTTGCCGGACTGGACGAAGCATTTCGAAGTGCTCAATAAGAAGTTGGGCCACCCACCGAATGCTCGTCCGTTCGGCAAGGGGGGTCAGATTTACCCCCCAGAGTCCGGAAGAATTCCGGACGGTACAAAAGTACCTTATGGAAATTACCGAAAAAGTACCAGCTATGTCCTGGTACTGTTACACCCCCGAAGAGGACAAGCCCACGAAATTGGGCATACGGGGACTACCCGTGGGCACGGATCCAACCGCGATAGAGGGGGCTATCAGGGCCAAGGGGTTCCCGATTAGATACGTCAAAGGGATCCCCCCCCCCCGTAGAAGCAGACCAGGGTGCCTCTACTTCGCGCAGCTGGACCACCTGAGCCTGGAGCGCCTCAACGAGCTTTATCAAATCGACGAGCTCCTCTTCATGAGAGGAGTCGTCATAGAGGCCTGGCAAGGAAGAGCGGGCCCTTCACAGTGCCACCGCTGCCAGGCCTTTGGACATGCATCCACCAACTGCTTCAGGCCAGTGAAGTGTGTTCGCTGCGCCGGAGATCACATCGCCAGTAACTGCCCAAGGGGTAGAGATGAGGAACCGCGATGCGCGAACTGCGCTAAGAATCACACCGCCAATGATCGCCGCTGCCCAGTCCTGAGGAGGATTGCAAGGAAGCAGGGGATTACTCTACCGGGACTACTCCCAGAGGAGCCCAAGAGGGTCCCCCAAAGTCGTCCCAGGGCCGTGGTCCAGGAAGACGGGTGGACCACAGTTAGAGGAAAGGGAAGGCAACCTGCCCCCCCTCCACCCGTCACGGCACCCACAGAAACGGTGGTGCCCACCATCACCACATCGAAGGCAACCACCGGGGCGACTCTCCAGCCCCCCGCTAACGACGCCACAGAGCGCCAAACCACCCAGTGGAGTAAGCGGGGGAGGAAGAAGAAAAAGAAGGTGCAGCCTCCTCCTCAGGCAGCAACCTCTACCCCAACCCCAGCGGTAATGATAGCCAAGGCGCAGGTTACCAAGTAGGACAAGAAAGCCAGAATGGGTAGAGTGCCAGAAAGGGCTCTATCAGAAAATAGAGCCCGCTCTACATATAGAGCGCGCTCTACCCATACGCAAAGAGCAACAAACCAACTCCCGAGACCAGCGCCAACTCCTGCATAGGCACCCAGAACACCAACAGCCGGCTTCGAGACTGCTGATGCCATCCAACGTCTGGTTGGCATTGCAATCGAAGTCGGCAGCCAGGTCCTGGCAGACATCAGAGCCGGGACCGATCCTATCACAGCAGTCATGAAGGCGCTGGCGAACCTCCTGGCTCGGCACTATGGAGGAATCTAACTTGCGCCTCCTCTACTGGAACCCAGGTGGAATTCAGCAGAAGCTGCAAGAACTCCGCACCGTCGCCCAACAACAAGACGTACAGGTCATCTTGCTGGGAGAGACGAAACTTAATCCGAGCACACGCATAAAGCTGCCTAACTACCATCTGTATAGGAGGGACGAGGTCACTTCTCAAGGGGCCGCCTACAGAGGGACAGCGGTCCTAGTGAGAAGGGACATCGTCCATCAAGAACTAGACCTACCGGAATAC